ATATATATATATATATATATATATATATATATATATATTCTCTATATCTAAATATTTTCTCAGTATCGAATATACTAATTTTTTTTATATAAAAAATTATCTTTTGTTTCTATATTTTCTTTTTTACATTTTTGTTATAATGATTGAGATATTTGATCCATTTGGATAGCCAAGATATATTCGATCTTGTATAATTGGTGTGCTTCTAAAAATAATAATATAATTTTATTGATTTTGTCTCTTATCTATAATTATTTATATAACTGGTTTTCAACATATATTATTTTACATGGAAATAATAAAGAAAAAGGAAAAGAGAAAGAAAACTATGAAGCTTGGACCAAGGAGGATTCCGATGAATTGTTACAATTGATAGTGAATACTATAAAAAGATGATAGAATATTATGGAGAATTATTATTATTATTTATCTAGACATTATTGCTTTTTTAATTATTTTTATCTTTGACTCTTTTTAAATTTGAATGTATGAATTTTTTTTTAAATCTTATCAAATGTCAAAACTCCACAAAATCCCACAGAATCCATTAAAATCCTGATTTAAAAGTCTTGTAGAATCCATTAAAATCCTAATTTTAAATCTTGTAGAATCCTGCAAAATCTTAAAAGTCGTGAAAATACTGCAAAGTCTTTTAAAATCCGCAGGATTTTTTTTCACTAAAAAAGTCCTTTAAAATCCTAATCCAATACACCCCCCTAAATATTTAATCTCCAAGTGATTAAGATTAGATACTTGTACCTGATCCAACAATTATACGTAAAAAAATTGTCCAAAATCAATAAAAAATAATAAATGAAATGAATTTTGTTAAAAACTTATAAATGCAGATGTAGATAAGAAGGATACAATAGACTCGGTTGTCTATTAAAATAACCTTGACATTTGCATCAATATTTATTTACTTTTTTGTAAATAAATAGTGCAACTTTTCAATTGTTTTTTTTTTGTTGAAAATAAAGTGAGTAATTTTTAGACCTACTAATTACTTATAAAAATAAATAATTTAAGGTAATTTTAATATAAATTAACATAAAGAAAGAAATAGTTGTTTTATATACATAATTTAAAAGTAGTATTTTTTATATATAATTTATTTTAAATTTTAGTTATATATTATAAATATTTACCATACATTACAAAACTAAAATACTAGTTATATAAAAATAA